CTATGAAGCGGGAGGGTGGCCCTGCATCCCAAGTGGCATTTGGTCTCATCCCACAAATAGAGCTGGTCTCATCCTGTCATTCCCATCAGAGGTCCCCAATCCCACAGCCCTTCTAATCCCAGCCTGTGGAGAATGGGGTGTGCTCCCATGGCAGTTGGTGCCCACAAGGATACATCTCATGCTCTCTGGCCCTAGCCCCTCCTCACCCATGAGATCCTTGACATGCCATGAGCAGAGCAGGAGGGATGGGAGCATGAGAAGCATGGACCATACTGCCTGGGTGATGGATGTGTGAAGGTCCCATGTCAGAGTGTTGCTGTGAGCAAACACCCAGTGGCCCCCAGCACAACTAGTGCTGCCGTGGCCTCCAGGTGGGCAGTTCTGCGGGGACAGCCCTGCAGGCTGGCTTGTACTGGAGGCTCTGACCTTTTCTCTCTGTACCCAGTTATTTTGCCCATCATCATGGAGCGTCTGGAGAAATTCACCTTCATGCAGGTCAGTCCACATTTCTCCTGCTATGGTTTTCCAGTAGGTTCTGCGGTGCCCCATCCCTGCTTTCCAGCTGCCGGGATACTGGGGATGAAGTGGGGGGTTGCAGAGCCTGGCTTGTTTTGCCCCCTCCTTTGCCCCCTCCTTGAGTCAGTGATACATCAAAGGTTTTTTGAGTGACACGGAAAGGCTATGGGAGGGTGGCAGGGTTTTGTGGCATGCCAGAGGTATTGGGCATTCAGCCCCACTGAGGGGAGAAGTCTGCCCACCCTGTGAGTGGGGCTTGCAGTGAGGCCAGGGACTCAATCATGGCTCTTCCCTTGCAGCGGATCCGCGCTCTCCATGGGCCTCTGCAGGTGCTGCTCTGTGGGGGCTTGTAAGTATCTCGCTGCTCAAACACCTGTGGGTGCCTGGAGCATGTCTCCAAGGGATGCTTGAAAAAATACCTCTTTCCCAACAGGGAATTACAAAGCTTCTTGCCTTTCAGCCTGGGCTTTCCCCAGCTGTTGGGAGTCATGGGGTGTGAGCAGCACCTCTTGGGCTGAGATATCTGTGGCTGGGGGGCAAACAGGCTGTGATCCCCAACACTAACACTTGGCTCTGCTCTGTCCCACAGCCTCCTGTTCATGGTGCCAGCAGCCTGCGCCCTCTTCCCACAGAGATGGTACCTGTCCCACTGCTTCCTCCTTTTGCATGGAACCTTGAGAGGCTTCCTCCTCCCCTAGTTCTTCTCTGCCCATCCCAGAAGAAGCACGATGGGCACTCACCCTTCAACTCAAGGCAGCACCTGCCTGTACATGCTGGTGCCTGGGGAAGCAGGAGGGCATGTGCCTTCCATGCTCTGTGAGCTCTGTGCTAGGAGCAATGGGACATCCAGCTCCATGGGCAGCTCTCTGCCCTCCAGCACTGAGACTGGTGGGTGCCAGGGGTGGGTGGCGGGTCTTGATGTGAGCCTGCAAGATCCCAAGGACTGCAGAGGACCCAAAATGACAGTGGGGAGGGAAGGTGGCTTGACTGATGGTTGGGGAGGAGGATCATGGGTCTCAGTATCTATCCCCTCTCCCCACAGCTCCCTTGCACTGGCTGACCTTGAGCTGGAGCTACGTGACAGCATTGTGGCCAAGCACGGAGACAAAGTGCCATATGTCTATTTTAACAAGGGTCTGTGAATGGAGACTACCTCAGGAGCCATCGCACCCCTCCAGCCTCCTGCCACCACCAGTCTTGTGTCCACAGTGAGAGATCAGAGGCACAGTCCAGCCAGATCTGCTCCCCAGCCCCACACTGTCTGCAGCCTCCTTCTACCAGAGAGGCAGGATCTGGCTCTGCATGCCCAGCTTGCACCACTTTGGGTTGTCCTGACCCTCTCCTATCTGCTGCTGGCCGTGCCCCTGCCTCCCCATGTCCCTCTTGCCCTGAGTGATGTCTGCACTTCCTGTGCCTTCCTCTGGCCCTGTGCAGGAGGATCTGCCCAGACTTCTGAGCCTCATGTGGCCACTTGGCCCCACAAGGCATCGGGCTCACTCCCTTGGGACTCAGAGCACAGTTCTACCTCTGAAATCAGGTGTTCTGCCTTTGGACCATGAACCAAACCACATTCCTGCCTTAAACCACCACAGTAGCCTCTTACCAAGAGCTGGATCATGCCTTAGCAGGTGTGAAGGGACCTGTCCCCTCTGCACAGGGAGTACCCCAAAGTCCAGAGGCCAATGCTTGGACTATGCCTTCTTTGCTCTCAGGTTCAGGTTTTATTCACTTTGCAATTGCCACAGACCAGGAGAGAAATAGCTAATTGTTTTTAAGCTCTAATTTTTTTATTTATCTGAGCACAAGAGCCAACTGTCGTGCTTGTCCTGCATCTCACTGTCCCTGCAGGAGGATCATAGACCTGCAGCTTTGGGGGACAGTAGACTCTGTGCCCCCTTGGAGAGGGGAAGGAAGATACAGGCATCGCAGAGCTGTTGAGGCATTAACTCAGGCTCTGAATAGCAGCACTGCAGACCACAGAGGAGGGTTGAAAAATAAATGTGGTGATTTTCAAAAAACAGGTGTGGGTTCTACTTCTGGCTGGTCTCTTGTGTGTGGTTCCCTGGGCAGGGCTGGTATGTGAGTCTCATGCTTGCCTCAAAAGGGAAAGCAACTGACCAGGCACCAGGGTGAGGGTCAGCACAGGGTCCAGGAGAAGGAGGAATGCAGGAGTTCACATACAAAGAGGCGAAAAATAAATGTGGTGATTTTCAAAAAACAGGTGTGGGTTCTACTTCTGGCTGGTCTCTTGTGTGTGGTTCCCTGGGCAGGGCTGGTATGTGAGTCTCATGCTTGCCTCAAAAGGGAAAGCAACTGACCAGGCACCAGGGTGAGGGTCAGCACAGGGTCCAGGAGAAGGAGGAATGCAGGAGTTCACATACAAAGAGGCGACGCCATTACATTATTCTTGAATATCTCGTGACTCCTTCATAACTTACAAAATTGATTCTTTTATACACACCTATTGTAAGTGCCCACTTATTATTGGTTAACTACTGTTACTAGCCCACCTTACACACAATATAATTGGTTATTAACATATCAGAGTAAGGGCTGGCATGAGCTCTGAACCCTTGGGCCACCAATGCAGCCTTCCTCAAAAGATTCTTGTGGCCACAAACAGTCCCAGGGCAAGTGACAAAAGAGGTGATAGTGCTGTGAGACTCATCTCATTGTGGGGACTGAGGGGATGACACTGGGTGACCCTTCTTACACCCACAGGTGCTGTTTATCTTCTTGGCCAGGCAGCATTTGTGCAATGCTAACTTGGGTCTGCCATGAAGCCTCTCCCACCCCTAAGAAGAGCAGCTTGAGTTTGCTGCAGCCTGTTTTTGGAGGAGAAAAGAGCTCAAGCCCTGGGCTAAAGCTCCTGCTTTTAATCAGTTACATCCAGGCTCTCTGCTTGCTGATGAACACCCCTTGGTGGGACAAGCTTGTTTCAGACAAGCTTGTTTCTAACCAGCTACATGATGTGGCTGCTCCCAGAGACCCATGGCCCAGTGGAAGGTCCACAGTCCTCCCTCCAGCCACGGATACTGTCAGATTCCCTGGGGCAGCAGCATCCTCACATCAACCACATGCCTGAGCAGCCACACCGCTCCTACAGAGAGAGTACCCAAACCTAAAAGGTACTTCTCAAAGGGTCAAGCTGTATCTACAGCAGGTTTGCTCCTGCCCAAGCTGCAGTGGGCAGAGGATAACCACATGTAGCTACAGCTAGAAAGCTCTAAAAGAACTCTGAAATACTTAATAGGTCAGCAGAAAGTAGGAAAACATGTTCCAACTTGTCTGTCTATTCCATGGGCATTATTAGATCTCTTGTTAAAGTGCAATTAAAGGATAGATAATCACATGAAACAAAACAGATGTCACTCCTGTTGGGAGTGGGAAGAAGCCACAAGGAGACATCTCTGTTCTCTGCTTTTCTTCAGCTCCCTAAGTCAAGCTGCTCTTGTCCTATACCTGAAACAGTTTTGAGGACTTTCAGAAAGGTACTTGTAGCAGCCTGGGCAGTGTTTGGGTCCAAGGTGCCTCTGGCATGCTCAGGAGCACAGCAATGCTTGTAAAATGATGTGCTGCAGCACCCCAAAACTGCCCTTACCCTGTGCATCAGAGACACACTCTTGCTGCTGACTCTTCCTGCTTTGGCAGTCCATGGGGGTCCCTGCAGGGCAGGGTCTCTGCAGCCAGTAATGTTGTGGCAGCAGCCACACAAAGCCAAGGTTGGGACCATGGTGGCAAAGCCTCAGCAGTTTTGCTACTCCCTTTTTCCTGCCCCCAGTCATACTGAAGAGATGATGGAGCAGGGAGACCCTCTGAAGAGCTATTGCCATCTCACATCAGCTCTCCCCCTGCCCTGGGGAACAGAACATGGTGCAGTTTATTGCCCTTGGGCAGAGGAAGAGGATTGTTCTGGGCTTGGAGAATTAGCAAGTCATCCTCAAGACAGACCTTCCCCCTGCCTGAGCTTAGAGCAGTGGATTCCCTCTTCAGATCGACATAGATTTATGCCAGCTGACAGTTTAGCTCAGCAGGGTTTCTAGGTTTCTAGGTTGTAGCTGGAATCTTCCCCGGAGGATTCAAGTCATCTCATCATCTCACGTCACTCCAGAGATGGTCGCTGCAGCCAGTGCCTGCCTGCTCTCCTCAAAACCACAGTAACTCCCCAGCTTGCCTTTGTCTCACCGGTGAGCTGAGGGGTTGTGGCCAAGCTGTGGCCAGCAAGCTCCCACGCTTCGGCCAGCCCTGCCTCCATTTCCCAGTGCAACAGGAAAGAAACCTCTTTGCCAGGAGTCAGACTCATCCTCGCTTGGGAAGAGCAGCAAGTGTTAATTGCTCTTCAGCGATGAGTCACATCTGATCTGGGCTTGTCCTGTGCTCCCGTGAACCCACTGCCTTCTCCCTGCTGTGCCTCTAATTTCAGGGCTAGCTAGGAACAGGAGTAAAACTCCTTCAAGAACTGTGCGCGGCTAAAACGTCAGCGCTCCAGCGTGTTTGCAACTTCCCTTCAAATGCTAACCGCACCAAAGATGACATGTTGGTCTGCAGCAGAGCCTGAGCAGGGGCTGGGGAGCTGTGGGAGGCTAGTGGGCTCCCTTAAGTACCAGCAGTCCCAGCAGACAGGCTTCGCTCACAACTCTGAACCCAAATGCCAGTGGAGGATGGGGAACTGTCTGCCAAAGAGAGAGGAGGGAGCAGGGTGCATGTGCAACGGGTGAACACCCACCGGCCCACACCAGTGGCAGGCAGGTGAGGAGATCCAGTGGGGTTAGGTGTGCCCAAGTACTGCCCTGATAGAAAAATGCCAAGGCAGGAAATAAGCTGCTAAGTAGATTATTTTTTTCTGGGTTTTCTTATGTGTTATCTGAGCATCTGATAAACCTTGTCATGCCAATTCGGCATGGAGGCTGCCTGGCACCTGGGAGTGGCCCTGTAACAACCCTCTGATGCTATCCCAGAAACACCGGCCATCTGCCCGGAGCTGTGAATTAATCCCACGCACCCGTGTCCCCACTCCTCCTGGGGGTGCGAGGGATCACTGTGTGACAACATGCAGGGACCCAGCCGCAGCGGGAGATCCTCTTCCCCATGCTGCTCCTGCTCCCGCTCCCAGTGGGGCTGTCGCCAACACACGCACACCCCTGAGTCCAGCCCCATCCCGCGCCCTCTGGTGTGCCCCAGCTCCGGGCGGGCTGTCGGGTTTGGGATCCTGGTTGCGCCGTGAAGGAGGGATCACGGTACCCAGGAGTGAGCGGGTGAATGGAAGATGAGTGCCTGGCTG